AATCTCGGCACTTGAGCAATAGACAAAACCCGGCACCAGGTCTTCCAGAATGGCCCACATCAACACACAGAGATAACATCTCGCCTCTCGTTCAGGGAATCACAAGCCATCGATGCATAGCTAATACCGAGCACTCATGCACACATACGAACGCGTGGAAGGAATTTCAAGAGTTACATTTCAAGCTGAATCAATGACGCACGATAAGAATTCAAGAATGTGGGATTTCCAAAAGGTTCTGCAGCCTCTCGAGGATATGTACAGACGTCTCCGTACCGATACGCGAGACTCTACTAAACCTGCTCATGACTCGTAAGACCTATGTAACCTAGGCTCTGATACCAACTTGTCACGACCCTAAAACTGACCCGGTCGTGATGGCGCTATGGTGAAACTAGGCCAGCCGACACAACTCCTGAAATTAACCATTTAATCAATAACAGTTATTTTTAAGCCTTTAATTAATCAAATATTTTATAATGAAAGTCTAAATGAACAGTGCGGAATAAATAAACAAGCCCGACATCAGAGTGTCACAAGTCACGAGCATCTACTAAGGTCTGTACAACGAAAAGTCTAAAAATATCCTAAATACAATATAAGGAAGACAAGAGGGAGAAAAGCAGTGCTGCGAACGTCGGACAGCTACCTTGCTAACTCCGATGACTCTGCCACTGAGCAATTAACACCCGCTACCGGGTTCAGAATATCCTGAATCTGCACACAATATACAAGGAGTAATGTGAGTATGCCAACTTAGTAAGTAATAAAAGTAAATGAAAGCTGAGCAATAAGAAAACACGTAAAACACAACATAACGCTACATCAATGCAGTACATTTCCAAAACAGTACAGAAGTCATTTTCTTCGTAAATCAAGCTCAGTTTCAATAAGACCCTCCTAAAACAACTTTCAATAATTTCAAACGAGTGATAAAAACAATGAGTTAAAACGATAGAAACGTAAACGGCCCCTCGGGCAAAACATGTACCATAAATTTCCCCTCGGACACAATATCAATAGAACCAGCCCCTCGGGCTACCTCACAATCACTCGTAATCATCCCATCGGACATAACATGAATCAGGAACCGCCCCTCGGGCATCAATATGAAACAACAACAACCCCTCGGGCTACAACATATCACTCACACTAGGTACCCGCTCTCATTAAGGGTGTACAGACTCTGGGAGAGGCTCCTTACAGCCCAAGCGCAATAACAAGCCATCTCATGGCATAATCAAACAGGCTCTCGGCCTCATATCAAGCCACCTTGTGGCGTAAAAAATCAGGCCCTCGGCCTCATAATTATAAATCAATACAACACTGCTGCAGCGTGCTACCCGATCCCATAGTATCCTCACAACACAGGCCCTCGACTTCACTTAGTCAGAAATCACGCAAGCCACTCGGGCAATAGTAAAACATGATGCTCAGCCTAAAATATTATTTAACATATCAAAACAGAGTAAATATGGCTGAGTTATGAAAACAGTAGAATACCAACATGACCGAGTACAAATATGAAGTCAAAACAATGAGGAATAGTAGTAAAATCCCCTAAGGGTCCCAAACAGTTGGCACGAAACCTAATTATGGCATTCAGTCCAAAACATAGTAATAATTTCCAAAACACAATGATATCAAACAATTTTCAATCAAATACGCGACTTAACAGTCATACGGGACGGACTAAGTCACAATCCCCAACAGTGCACGACCCCACGCCCGTCATCCAGCATGTGCGTCACCTCAAAGTAGCACAACGATGTGAAATTAGGGGTTTCATACCCTCAGGACAAACATTTACAATCATTACTTACCTCAAACCGGTCCAAACTCTAGCCTGCGATGCCTTTACCTCTCGAATCGGCCTCCAAATGCTCCAAATCTAACCAAAATTAGTATATTATCATCAACATATGCTAAAGAAACAAAGCCCAAGCAAAAATTATCAAATTACATCAAAAATCCCGAAATTGGCCAAACCCGACCCCGGGCCCACGTCTTGGAATCCGATAAAAATTACAAAATCCGACAACTCATTCAACCACGAGTCCAACCATACCAAAATTACTAAATTTCGATAACAATTCGTCCTCCAAATCTTCAAATCTTATTTTCAAATCCCTAGGTCCAAATCTTCAATTTACACCTCAAAAACATGTAATCTAGTCAAATTATTCGATGATAATTCAATATTATGGAGTAGAAATGATCACAAGTGACTTACCTCAAGATTTCCCTTGACTTCTCGCTCAAAAATCGCACCAAGACGTGTTCTTTTCGTCCAAAAATGTGGGAATGAGCTAAAAAAAATAAGACAACTCAATAAAAGACGATGCTGGTCGCTAAAGGCCCCATTCCTTTCGCTAAAAGTGCCAAATCTGGTCGCTAAAGGTGTGCACCAGATCCTGTTGCACCAACAATATTTATTTTCACTAAAAAGGCTCTAACTCCACCATACGAACTCGGAATTCGATGATTCTTCTCCCTATGAGTCACAAATAATAATACAAACATAGCCCTTCAATCGAAACTCAATTCGAAGCTCATTTGCTCAATGTGATACCCATTACGCTCGTTAAACAATTAGCTCATGTTTCGCGTCAAAACCCCAATCTCAACTTGATGAAATTAGACCAAACTTTCCATATCACTCCTATAATTTATTAGGAAGTCTCGAAATCAAAATTTGATCTCTAGAACTAAAAATGGACCTTTGAATCATTACATACTTATGCTCAAAACGGCAAAATCTTCCAAAAACTCTTCCAAAACTTATCCGAGCCTCATGGGACCCCGACCAAACATGACAACACACCCCATAATATCATTCAAACTTATTCCAACCTTTGGAATGCTCAAAACAACATCAAAACATCGAATCACCCTCGGTTTCAAGCCTAAGAATTTGAAAACTTCTGAATTCCGAATTCGATCAAAAAGTCTATCAAATCGTGTCTGAATGACCTGAAATTTTGTACACACGTCAAAAATGACACAACGGACCTACTCCAATTTCTGGAATTCTATTCCGACCCCGATATCAAAATTTCCACTGCCGATCAAAAAACGCCAAATTTTCAATTTCACCAATTCGAGCCTAAATCTACCACGGACCTCCAAAGTATATTTCGGACGCGCTCCCAAGTCCAAAATCACCTAACGGAGATAACCAAATCATAGAAATTCAAATCCGAGATCGAATACTAAAAAGTCAAAATTTGGTCAAACCTTTCAAATTTAAAGCTTCAAGCTGAGAATTGTTCTTCCAAATCTATTCTGATTATCCTGAAAACCAAAACCGACGATTTACATAGGTCATAATACATCATATAGGGCTAGTCATGCCCGAGAACTGGCGAGCGAAGTGCAAATGTTTAAAACGACCGGTCGGGTCGTTATAATAGAGGGCGAACTAGGGTCATGACACTCAATTTATGAAATCGAATCTTCGAACCATTTGTAATGGTGACTTTTATTTTTCAAATCCTTAGTTAAACATTAAAATTTGAAAAAGAATTGAAGGAGAATAACAATAGTAGAGAAATTTTGTGGTGCAAAGGCTGATATGGGAGGGAGAAGAAGAACGAAGAAAAAAGGGGAACGAAGAAATAAGGGGTGGGCTAACTGGTGAAAATTAATTTTCAGATTATGTACAACCTAGGCTATATTGGGTAAGGGCTTCAAACATGAGCCATTTTCTGATGGGTTGTTGGGCCAAGTGACAAGGGATGTAATTCTCCCTTAAAAAAATCCCACACTATTATTAATGCCTTTAATTATGGGGTTCAATTATAGCCTTTCCTTTTTTTCTCCGTTCTCCTACGCAGATTTGTGATATTTGACTGCTTTCAAGGATTGTGGCAGCCCGTATTTGCCAAACTTTCGTTGTTCTCCTTTTTTTTCCTTTGGCCTCATCTCTTCGAGTAGGCTCAATAGCTTTCAATCTACTAGGGTTACAAATAAAAAATCTAATAAGTCTCTATATGCTTAACATATAGGGAAATTTTCATAAACCACTATCTTTTAGTGGTAATTAGCTATATATAGATACCATTTGCTATATTACGGCATGTAGGTACGTTTTCTATTGTTATAAGATGTATTTGATGAATTTAGACTACTGTATTCATGAATACATTAGGAAAAATAGGCGTGAATCATGGAACAGTTGGTGTATTCAAGAGTTGTATCATTGAATACAGTAACATATATTCCTTAAAAAGGACCTTTGAACTGATTTAAAATGGAAAAGAAATCAATTTAGCAAATAGTATCCTAATATAACTCAACTAACACGATTATATCACCCATAATCTGTATTTCTCCCTTCATGAAAGATTTTCCATCCGAAAAGTATTAAAAAAAGAGAGTAATCTATGGATTTTCAATTCTACCTTCTTTCTTTTCAGTTCCTTTGTTACGGTTCGTAGATAACAATTTTCAACCACGAAAAATCGAGATTGATACAATTGTATACAGAAATAAGTTCACATTCGATTTTGCATATGGCAAGTTTAACAGTGTTATTGCATCATTCTGGAAAGTGGAATAGTGAGAGTAACTACGTCGATTATTTGATTGAGGGAATACTAATAAAGGAGTATGCGTCATGTAATGATTTGGTTGCGTCAATTTCTAAGCAACTGGACATAGATTTGAGCTCAAAGACCATTAAAATTCAATACAAAGTAGAAGGAAATTGCACGCCAATGGAAATACACAATGATATGGGTTACAGGGTGTATATAGAGTTGAAAAAAGAGAGTAGAGAATTCGGGATGTATCCTTTGTGCATAACAACAATTGAAAAAGAAGTTGTTGCCGGAGGTAGTTTAATTCAAGGCAACATTGTCCAAATAGATGAAGTAGTTCAAAGGTATAATTGATATAGATGATACACTTGCCCTTGATGTTGTCAATTCAGGCGAACCAATTGGGGTGTTCGAATTGGATAAGGATTTGATAATTTCAAAAACTAGCAAAGGGAGGTTATGGCTGGACAAGTATATAAGGATAAAGCTACATTGAAAGATGTGATGGAGCATTACGCTATATCTGAAAGGTTTCAATTCCGGGTTGATAGGTCTAATGCTATCAGGTTTGAGTGTTCTTAATTATTCATTATTTTTTTGTATATTGTATTCATGGTAGGAGTTGTAAATTGTATATAGATGTATTTAGGTGTATTTGTGAATTTTTACTAGACCTTCACTATGAATTCGTATGTGAATTTTTTACTTTTTATGTATTAATAATACATGTATTGTTGTGGAGAATTACGCTGGTACAGAAGAATTGAATGTAAAATTAAATTATATGTAGATATATTTAGTTGTATTTGTGAAAGGTTACTTGACCTTCGCTTTTGTGCTTTTTTTATTTTTTATATATTAACAATACATGTATTCGTGTGTATTACAATTGCTCTAACTATTTTTTATTAAATGTATTAGTTGCATTTAAAAGTATGCTTATAAGTATAGCCGTATTCAAATGTATATGAGTGTATTTTTAGTAAGCATTTATACTGATCATATGTGTAATGATAAATTCTTTGCAGCTATGCATTATTATGTATGTCAGAAGATTGTGAATGGAGGTTTAAGGCTTCTAGCTGTAACGACCTGACCGGTCGTTTTGAGCTCTAGCGCGTCGTTCAGCAGTTTGAGGCCATAATCAGCTTCACTTCAGGTATTATGACTTGTGCGCATGGTCGAAATTGAATTTCGGGAAGTTCGGAGTTGATTTGGAAAGAGAATTCTCATTTCGGAATCTTTAAATTGAAAAAATTAGCTAAGATTGGTTTTTTGAGTAAACGACCTCGGAATCGGGATTCAAAGGTTCTAGTAGGTTCGTATGATGATTTTGGACTTGGGCGTATGTCCGGATCGGGTTTTGGAAGACACGGGAACGTTTTGGCGCCTATTGTGGAAGTTAGCATTTTGGAGGAATTTCATAAGTTTGGGTTGAAGTGCATTTCAGGGTTATCAATGTCCGTTTGGGATTTCGAGTGTGGTGATTCTGGAGTTGGGAGCTCGATCGGAAGTGAATTCGGAGGTCCGTAGGTAATTTTGAAGTCATTTGGCTAAAGATAGAAATTTGAAGGTTTTTGAGAAGTTTGACCGAGAGTTTGACTTTTTGATATCGGGCTCGGATTCCAATTCCGAAAGTTGGAGCAGATCCGTAATGTCAAATATGACTTATGTGCAACATTTGAGGTCAATCGGACGTGATTTGACGGGTTTCGGCATCGAATGTAGAAGTTTGAAATTTCAAAGTTCATAAAGTTTGGATTGGAGTACGATTCATGATTTCGACATTGTTTGATGTTGATTTCAAGCCTTGGCTAAGTTCGTATTTTATTTTGGCACATGTTGATATAATTGGTTGAAGTCTCGAGGGTCTCGGGTGGATTTCGCATGGCTAACAGGTCGATTTTGGAAACTTGAAGCTGCTGAAAATCTGCTGCAGCTGCTGTTTTGGACAATAATGGTACAATCGAGGAGACTGCTTTGGAAGCTTATATCTTAAAGTATATAAGGAATCTGCAAATTTACAAAACATAAAATTCTTGCTCATGCATTCTAGTTTCTATAAAGTTAAACCATTCAGGATTTGGACAATTCATCAGAAAGTTATGATCGATTGAAAATGACTGGCGGAGCAGTTTCGACAAAATTTTCTGTTGCATGGAGCCGACTTTAGAAGCTCATATCTCGGAATATATAAAACGTTATATGGTGTACAACCTATCAAATGAAAGATCTTTGAGTCTAGTTTCTAAATCTTTAAACCGTTTGTCATTTAGATATTTCCACAAGGGGTTATGGGCATTTTAACAGAAGGTGTACAGCAGGGGAAAAATGGGAATGGGATGTACAACCTGCACAGCGCAAGGTACAACTCGGTGAAGCCTGGGCAGATTGTTTTAAACACGAGTTTTGGCTCATTTCTTTCACTTCTTTCATTTGGCTTGGACGATTTTGGAGAGCTCAAGGAAGGATTTTCACCAAGCAACACTAGGTAAGTGATTTCTTCCTATTTTTGAGTTAAATATGTGATCTTACATGGATTTAGACATGGAAAATTAGTATATATTTGTCATTTTTGGAGAAGACCTAGAATTTGGAATTTTGGACTGTTACCTTGAATTTGAGCATGAAAATTTGAGCAAATTGTAAATTTGAGTTAGTAAAGCTATGGGTAGAATTTATCTTCAAGAAATTTCGGAATCCGGGCACGTGGGCTCGAGGGCATTATGGTCAACTTTTCGAGCAGAGTTGGGAACTTATATTATTTGAATTGTTACAAGTATTAGAGCGAATTTTTATTGGTTTGCCCGTTATTTGAATAGTTTTGGGGCGTTGTGCATCAATTGGAGTCGTTGGAAGGGCTTGGAAGCCGGTTATGGAAATTTCGGAGCGAGGTGAGTCTCCTTTCTAACCTTGTAAGAGGGAATTGTCCCCATAGGTGATATAGTTGGTTATGTGCACCTATTTGTGTGGGCTACGTACGCACGAGGTGACAAGAGTTCGTGCGTAGCTACTATTATGTGTAAGTCCGGGTAGTCTAGGACCCAAAAACATGCTATACTTTGAATATATGTAATCTTGTTGGCAGTTGAATTGCTTAAATCTTATCGAATTGGTAAAGGAATTTCTAAAAGGGATTAAACTTCATTTTCTTACATCGCTAAAAGATAATTGACTTTTATTTGGATAAACGTTCCCCGATAAATTCTTAATTTGCTGTCTAAGCATGTATTTCTATGTGTACCTGCATCGCATGTATGATTCGCGAGCAGGGTGTTGTTTATTTATGTTGACCGCATCACATGTATGATTCGCAAGCGAGGTAATAGATGCATCTATGGTTCGCGCCATTTGACCCTTGGCAATGCATATTTTACATTTATGTTGGATCGGGCCATACAACCTCGACATGATTTGCGCATGCTTGTATTGCTTGCCTTGAGAGTTATTGATATTGATATTTGCTCTCCCCGACTTGAGATAATTGTTAATTAATGGATTATGAATCCGGAGACTTTTAATAAAAAGTAACTCTTACCTGTTTCGTGACTTATTTGAATTTACTATTGTTCTTAATAAATCAGTGATTCATCGCATTAATAATATTACTATTGGACTACTAGCAAGTGTCGAAGTCGGCCTCTCGTCTCTACTTCTTTGAGATTAGACGTGATACTCATTGGGTACACATTGTTTTCGTACTCATATTACACTTGTTGTGCATTTTTGTTGTACAGGTTCATATGTGGCTAGTGGCTTAGTAGAATAGCGGCATGGTTGATATGGAGACTTAGGTGAGTTGCAATTATCGAGACGACCCGCAGCCAGCAGAGTCTCCTTCAGAATATTGTACTGTATTTTCATTTTTGTCCACTTGTATTCCGGACAGTTACTGTATTTTACGTCATTCCCTAGTAAATGCTCATGCACTTGTGACACCGGGTTTTGGGATGATTATGGGGTATCTTGTATTAACTGCTTAACATTCATATTCGATTTGAAACGATTATCTTTTACTGGTAAAATTGAAGGAAAACCATAGTTTTCAAAATTATTCAAACGAGAATTTAATTAACTATTTTGGTTGGCTTGCCTAATAGCGATGTACGATGCCATCACGACCCTTAGTGGATTTTGGGTCGTGACAACATGGTATCAGAGCACTAAATTCCCTTAGGTCTCACGAGTCATGAGTTAGTCTAGTAGAGTATTGCGGATAAGTGCAGAGATGCATGTACTTATCTTCGAGAGGCTACAGGGCTATTAGGATCACTTCCCTTCTTGATTCCTCATCGTACGGTTTGATTCCTTTGAGGTTTGTGCCCCTGTTTCCTTCTTACTCAATCTTATGCGACGCGAAGCCCTTATTATAAATCGGGAATTGTAATAGTACTATAAATGTGGTGCGGGATGTTTCTCCCTGCGTAGTTATTTGGGCTATTGTCGTCACCTTGCAGAAGGTCGTTCTGTCGTTTCAGCTCAATATTAGTATTACCTAAGGTTTTGAGATCTGGCATCGATGTTATGACGATTCGCATTGCTATCACCCAGTATTGATGTGATGGTAGGATACTTACCAATACGTTGGGGCAGTGAATGACCTGAAAGGAGGCCTACCCAGTGCATGACTCAGAGACTCGGTATTTCATTCCCGGCGGAGGAAAGGCAACCAGACTATAATTGTTCAAGATTGAGTTGATGTTTCTAATGTCAACGGCTCAAGAAAACATGATCTTCGGAAAAGTATAAAGTTAGTAGCAGTCCATTGGTTCAAGTGCTATAGAGATATATATTGATCTAAGGCAAAAACTAGGCAGCAAAGGATGAGGAAGGACATGTGGGAAGTGTCATGTGGTGGTTAAATTTCTAGAAGGCCAAGTGTAAGAAGCGAAAGTCAAATAGTAACTTAAAGAAGAGGGTCCGGCCAAAGTGGGAGAGTGGTAGAGCAGCACGTGGATTCAGTGGCAGGATAACTACACCCTTGAGGAAAGTTGGAGTGATTTGGGAATTTTTAGTGGACAGTGATTGGGTCTACGAGCTTAATTTGAAATATTGGCTAGCATAAAGGCGGGAGATTCGATATGACAGAAAGGAGCTGCTTGATATGAAGAAGGATAAAACATAATATAGAATTGTAAAATATTGTCGCACATTTAGTTAATGTCCACGAGGAGTGAATGAACTTGTGAAGTTGGTGGATTAGTACGGGCTTAAGATGGATTATTGATGTCGTAGTAATTGTACCCCGTGCTGCAACGTTGGAAGATGTCGGCATGTAGTCTCCAAATTTGGGGGATGTATCCTATGAGCAGATCAGCGGCCGCGTGGTTGGCAAAGCTTCGGCGAAGGATTCTATTAACTATCCGGTAAGAGGTCTAATGTGCGAACGTTGCTAGAGATTCAGAGTGTTCATGAAATGCTAAAGGAAGGATTTCGAGGAATCTGGCGGTTTAATTGCGCAAGGTCATGTCAATAAGAGATAAAGAACCTTGGTGGGTTCCAAAGTTGTGTAACAGTGGCTTCAAGCTAAGTGGGAGAGTCCCACCGCCTACGGTTGGATTGTCTGGTCGCCTATTTGTGAGATTTCTGGTTATTAGCATATTGATGGGCTATTTCAGCTACGGGAAAAGAACATAAGTGGTAATTTGAGCAAAATAATTGTTAAAGGTGTACTATGGTTGGCCTTATTGGCTCATGTTCAGACTTAGGGAAGGATTCAGGATTTATGCCTTGTATAGATGCGGGTTCCAAGGGAAGTGATTCTGCAGGGTGCTTCGTCGAGAGGGTATTCATGTGCTAGAAGAGTCATGGAGTTGATTATATTCGGGGCCAAGTTAGAGCGGGTGGGTCTCAACAATGGTCCTAGTAGATTCAAAGGTTAAAGTGTGGCGCCTAATGATGTCGAGCCTACAAGTACGGTTAAGAATCAAGCTTTCGTAGCAGCTTATGAGAAGAGGCCCAGAATATTTTATGATGTTTTGACTTGCAGTACAACATTTGGGAGGAAAATGAGAAAGGACTTCGGATTCTTAGAGGGATTATCAGAATGGGCATACCAATTGAGGATGCGAATGTGCGCACAAGGGAGGTATGAAACAGTTCGTGGGATTTGAGATAGCATGGTCTCGTGATTCAAGGTCACTCGGGATGAGTGTAGATGGAGTGTACTATGTGTTGAATGGTGTTATTATTATTCCTAAGGCAATCAAGGATAAATTGGAAGAAGATAGATCGGTTAGCCATAGTTAGGTTGGCATATTGGTGGTAGTGATCAGTTTCTTCAGTGTGGTCAAGATATGCAAGTGAATTGTGACGGTACGTGCGAGGTTTGTCGGCTGCCGTAATTGATGTTATTCAGAAGTATTCTACTGTTATGGCCTGTTATGTGTAGGCGGATCTCGAAAGGGTTGTGGTGGCTTAGACCACTACTTAGAGATTTGCATATTTTACGGTTATGAGAATTCACCTGTGTGTTTCTATGGTTCTCCTGAAGTGAGTTAAGTGAAAAGTTTTTATATGATGAAGTGTTAATCTATTAGTGGTTCCGGAGTTATGATGAAAAATCGTGTTCTATCGCATATTGGCATGTTGACTGTAGTGAGTGATATGGAATTTGAAGTAAGGATCAAGGTTGCAGTTCGGTGTTGACAAGGATGTTACAGGTTCGGATGAGCAGGAAGGGAGTTTCGATGTTTAAATTAAGTTGGTATTGTCTTCAACGTCACCTGAGATTGGTGCTTTGTGAAAAAGGCTTTGCATCTTGGTTAAGGATTCTTGATCGTTTATCAGCGTTAGAGCGACCGGTGGTTTGGATATACACACCCGTTATCTGTTACGGAAGGATGTGAGAGCATGTCCCACGGGAAGGTCATATAAGTGTGGCATGTAGTCACTTGATTGATTGAAGAGTTAAACCAAGTATGAAGATTGTAGTGATGCCGTTAAATTGAGAATTGATGCCTGGAGGGTACTCGATTATTGGGTTGTGGACTATGGAGGACTACTTCGGTCATGATGGTAGTTCTCGTTTGTTATGAGAAAAGGGGGAGTTATTATGGACCTTTGGAAGGTTATTAGCTTAGTTCAGTGTGGTCAGAATCAGCTTGAGGTCTAAGGATGGATCTAAAAGTAAATATGTGCTCTATATCATGCCATATGTGTTCATTTCAGCGATGCGCTCCTCATAGAAGAGTAGTCGGGGTACTATTTCGCCGTCAGCTATTTCATGTAATGATATATTGCGCTGTATGAGTTGTGAGATGGCTTGGTGAATTTCTTATGTGTTGAGGTTCCGCGTAGAGATGATGTTACATGAGCAGGATGGCTCTTGAGATTCAGATCGTATATTGCACCTTAATTGTGCTTGAGTTTGTAGCTTATGGCACTATATGTCTCCCCAGGGATGATATTATGAACTTAGCGTGCTTGTGACCGACATTCGGCATTTTGTTGTAATGAGCAATCTGGCTCGGTTTGTATCTCCTTATATAAATTTTGTGTATGGATCGGGTGGCACGCCGCCATGGGTATGTTGTTTGGATCGGGTTGTGCGCTGCAACAGTGTGATATTGAGTACAGTTCCTTATATCTGTTTTATGTATTTTGTTTCCCATTTTCTTAAGGAAAACTCATATTTGTTGTGTGCCGCGTCGCATGTATGATTCACGAGTGGGGTGTTTGTTTAATCATGTTGACCGCGTCGAATGTATGATTCGTGAGCGAGGTAATTGGATTTCCTTATCAAGGTTCGTTTTCCTTTTGTATCGCGTTTGAATTGGTAGCCTATTGGCACATTGTGGCTTATTACCTGAGTAGTTCGTACTGGGTGAGACGAGATCATTGGATTTATGATCATTGCAATCTGATTATATGAAGTATATTAAGGAGCAAAGACCACTATTTGGTTCAGAATGAGGTGATGGTTCTTGTCAGGAGTATAGACCCAATGATTTGATGATTCGGAAGTTGGTGATGAAATTCTACACATCTCTTCTGTCGTGGTGGTATTGTAAGAGTTAGAGCAAGACCTATGTATGTCATGAGGTGCAATGGGAGCATCAGATTCGTGGAATTTCGACTATTATGCTCAGAGAATGTTATTGTGGTTATGTGAATAAAGCGGGGCAAGGTGTGAATTCAGCAAGGATATGCAATCATGTTCTGGTACATCATATGTTGATTGATAAGGTGTTCGTATGTTGGAAATAGGCCTGGCAGAGAATTCCAAATGTGGGAATTGGGCTCTAAGGCTTATTTTCCTAAGTGAAAAAGGGAATCTTCAGATTGATTGAGCTAGGGTGCCCAGCTGAGTTATGGTAGCACGGGTAGGTGCTCGAGGTGTTAAATAATGATTTCGAGCAACCCCAACATAGTTCTTAGCACGTTCGAGGACGAACGTATGTTTAAATGAGAGAGAATGTAACGACCCGACCGGTCGTTTTGAGCTCTAGCGCGTCGTTCAGCAGTTTGAGGCCATGAGCAGCTTCACTTCAGGTATTATGACTTGTGCGCACGGTCGGAATTGAATTCCGGGAAGTTCGAAGTTGATTTGGAAAGAGAATTCTCATTTCGGAAGCTTTAAGTTGAAAGAATTAGCTAAGATTAGTTTTTTGAGTAAATGACCTCGGAATCGGGATTTGAAGGTTCCAGCAGTTCGTATAATGATTTCGGACTTGAGAGTATGTCCGGATCGGGTTTTGGAAGACCCGGGAACGTTTTGGCGCCTATTGTGGAAGTTAGCATTTTGGAGGAATTTTATAAGTTTGGGTTGAAGTGCATTTCAGGGTTATCAATGTCCGTTTGGGATTCCGAGTATGGTAATAGCTCCTTATGGTGATTCTAGAGTTGGGAGCGCAATCGGAAGTGAATTCGGAGGTCCATAGGTCATTTTGAAGTCATTTGGCTAAAGATAGAAATTTGAAGGCTTTTGAGAAGTTTGACCGAGAGTTTGACTTTTTGATATCGGGGTCGGATTCCAATTCCAAAAGTTGGAGCAGGTCTGTAATGTCGAATATGACTTGTGTGCAAAATTTGAGGTCAATTGGACGTGATTTGACGGGTTTCAGCATCGAATGTAGAAATTTGAAATTTCAAAGTTCATAAAGTTTGGATTGGAGTACAATTCATGATTTCGACGTTGTTTGATGTGTTTAAAGCCTCGGCTAGTATTGTATTTTGGGACATGTTGGTATAATTGGTTGAAGTCCCGAGGGTCTCAGGTGGATTTCGGAAGGCTAACGGATCGATTTCGGAAACTTGAAGCTGCTGAAAATCTGCTGCTTTTTCTGCTGCAGCAGTTGTTTTGGACAACAATGGTTCAATCGAGGAAGCTACTTTGGAAGCTTATATCGCAAAATATATAAAGAATCTAAAAATATGCAAAACATAAAAGTTCTTTCCCTTGAGTTCTAGTTTCCAGAAAGTTAAACTATTCAGGATTTGGACATTTTATCAGAAAGTGATGATCGATTCAAGATGGCTGGTGGAGCAGTTTTAATAGAATTTTCTGTTGCATGGATCCGATTTTAGAAGCTCATATCTAGGAATATATAAAGAGGTATATGGTGTACAACCTATCAAATGAAAGATCTTCGCGTTTAATTTCTAAATATTCAAACCGTCTGTCATTTGGATATATCCACAAGGAGTTATGGGCGTTTTAACAAAAGGTATACAGCAGGAGAAAATGGTAATAGGATGTACAACCTCCACAACGCAAGGTACAACTCAATGAAGCCTGGGCAGATTGTTTTAAACACGAGTTTTGGCCCATTTCTTTCATTTGGCTTGGACGATTTTGGAGAGCTCAAGGAGGAATTTTCACCAAGCAACACTAGGTAAGTGATTTCTTCCTATTTTTGAGTTAAATATGTGATCTTCCATGGATTTAGACATGGAAAATTAGTATATTTTGGGGAAGACCTAGAATTTGGAAGTTTGGACTTTTACCTTGAATTTGAGCATGAAAATTTGAGCAAATTGTATATTTGAGTTAGTAAAGCTATGGGTAGAATTTATCTTCGAGAAATTTCGGAATCCGGGCACGTGGGCCCAAGGGCATTTTGGTCAACTTTTCAAGCAGAGTTGAAAACTTATATAATTTGAATTGTTACAAGTATTAGAGTGACTTTTTATTGGTTTGCCCATTATTTGAATAGTTTTGGGGTGTTGTGCATCATTTGGAGTCGTTGGAAGGGCTTGGAAGCCAGATATGAAAATTTCGGAGCGAGGTGAGTCTCTTTTCTAATCTTGTAAGAGGGAATTGTCCCCATAGGTGATACAATTGGTTATGTGCTCCTATTTATGGGGGGTACGCATGCACGAGGTGACAAGAGTCCGTGTGTAGCTACTATTATGTGTATGTCCGAGTAGTCTAGGACCCAAAAGCATGCTATACATGGAATATCTGTAATCTTGTTGGCAGTTGAATTTCTTAAATCTTATCGAATTGGTAAATGGATTTCTAAAACGGATTAAACTTCATTTTCTTAAATCTCTAAAAGAGAATTGGCTTTTATTTGAATAAATGGTCCCCGATAAATTCTTAATTTGTAGTCTTAGCATGTATTTCTATGTGTACATGCATCGCATGTATGATTCGCGAGCATGGTGTTTGTTTATTTTTGTTGACCGCGTCGCATGTATGATTCGCGAGCGGGGTAATAGATGCATCTATGGTTCGTGTCGTTCGACCCTCGGCAGTGCATATTTTACATTTATGTTGGATCGGGTCGTACGACCTCGACATGATTTGTGCATGCTTGTATTGCTTGCCTTGAGAATTATTGATATTGATATTTGGTCTTCCCGACTTGAGATACTTGTTAATTAATGGATTATGAATCCGGAGACTTTTAATAAAGAGGAACTCTTACCTGTTTCGTGACTTATTTGAATTTACTGTTGTTCTTAATAAATCTATGATTCATCGCATTAATAATATTACTATTGGACTACTAGAAAGTGTCAAAGTCGACCTCCCGTCTCTACTTCTTCGAGATTAGACGGGATACTCATTGGGTACATGTTGTTTTCGTACTCATACTACACTTGCTGTGCATTTTTATTGCACAGGTTCATATGTGGCTAGTGCCTTAGTGGCATAGTGGCATGGTTGATATGGAGACTTAGGTGAGCTGCAATTATCGAGATGACCCGCAGCCAGCAGAGTCTCTTTCAGAGTATTGTACTGTATTTTTATTTCTGTCCGCTTGTATTTCGGACAGTTACTGTATTTTACGTCATTCCCTAATAAATGCTCATGCACTTGTGATACTGGGTTATAGGATGATTATGGGGTATCTTGTATTAACTGCTTAACATTCATATTCGATTTGAAACGATTATCTTTTACTGGTAAAATTGAAGGAAACCATAGTTTTCAAGATTATTAAATCGAGAATTTAATTAAGTATTTTGGTTGGCTTGCCTGACAGCGGTGTCTGGCGCTATCACGTCCCTTAGTGGATTTTGGGTAGTGACACTAGCATTAACAAATCACAGTTATTCAAAGTGAGTGAGTTCAATCATAAGCGTACATGTCCGTTGAAGGATAAGGTGTATGAGCAACGTCAGGCAAGTAGCAGCCTTATAGGTGGTATGATTAGGCTCAAGCTTACAAATCATAAGAGAAAATACACCCTAAAGGATATAATTGACAATGTGAAAACAAATTTAGGTGTGGATGTTAGTTACATGTTGGCATGGCGGGCTAAAGAAAAGGCAATGAATTTTTTGAGGGGTAAACCAACTGATTCATACAATAAATTACCAGGATACTTGTATACAATGGATATGATATATCCTGGTTCGCACATTAGAATGGTAAAATCCCCACAAAATGAGTTCAAGTATGTGTATATATCCTTGTATGCCTTTATAAAGGAGTTCGATCAATGTAGACCCATTGTGGTTGTGGATGGAAGCCACTTAAAATCGTATTACACTAGGACTTTCGTCTCGGCCAACAATTTGGATGGTGCGGGTGAGTATGTTGATTATAATAAAATATTATAATATTACTGCATATTAAATATTGAAATACATATTTATAATATGTATGCAATTTTCTTTACAGGTCATATACTTCCACTAGCATATGGTGTTATTGATTCAGAGAATGATGCTGCTTGGACGTGGTTCTTTGAGCAATTCAAGGAAGTATATGGTGAGATGGAAAGCATGTACATCGTTTCAGATAGGAACGAAAGTATCATCAAGTTTGTATCAAGAGTGTATCCAACTGTACCACATTTTGCTTGTATATGGCATCTTTGGAACAACATATATAAGAAATTCAAAAAGAGTCATTCAAAGTTGAGCGAGATATATTTCTCGATGGAAAAAGCATACACATGCTAAGTTTGACAGTATAATGGAGAAGGTATATATTAGGGTGAAGGATTACTTGGAGTTAGCTGGATACGAAAAGTGGGCTAGGTTGTATGCACCTGTTAACAGAGGATGGAAAATGACGTCAAATATTGTTGAGTCAATCAATGCCGCACTTGTGTCATCAAGGGAATTGACAATATACAACCTCCTTGAAGAAGTTAGGAAAATGTTTGGACGTTGGAATTGCAGCAATCGGAAAGAAGCTCTACAGACATACACAACGCTTGGAAAAAAATACCAGGAGATGCTTACCTTGAATGAGGCAATGTCTATACGAATGACTGTAAGTTGCCTTTTATTTACGTATCTGTATCCTATATTTAGCCATGGTACAAGGTATTTAACTGTATATATTTCAAGGTAACCATGGACGTTGTATCCTGTATTTATTCAAGACTCCTCCTTAATATTCTGCCAGCATTCATATAGTATGTATTATAATGTATTCAATGTATTTAACTGTATATATGTGTATGTCTTTGAATTCTGTATGTACAAATATGTTTGTATTTAATATAGTTGTAGTTTAATACAATATATATTGTGATTCTTAAAAAGCTAAATAAAAGTCTAATACTCCATATTAAAATCATATATATATGATTTATTTTTTTAAATAATGCAAACTAATAGGTCTATGTTTAAACGGTAAACGATGAAGGAAGGCATTACACCGTATGCCTCTTAGAGAGAAAATGCAATTGTGGGCAGTTCCAAGTCGATGAATTACCATGCCCACACGCTTGGGTTGTCCTGAAGAGCAAGTTTCTAATGCTAGAAGTTTATTGCTCTGACTATTACAAACCAAAGTCTGTTGTAACGACATATGAGGTGCCCGTGTATCCTTTGCCGGACCGGAAAGAATGGAATATACAGCACATATAGCAGATGAAGTTGTATTACCACCCAAATGGAAAAGACCTCCTGGAAGAATAAAGAAGAAGCGTGATAAGCCGTTGATTGAATTGTTGCAGAAGAAAAATCAACATTAGCATATATGGGCAGGAAAGACATAATAAGCGTACTTGTAGAAATGCTTCACGTAGAAATTAGTTCACATTCTGACTTGTATTAATGCTATAACGATTTGTCATAGATTTCGGTGTCATTTCGAACATATTTTGGATATATTTAGTTGTGTATTAAATCTGAATATGTAATTAAAATATGACTATTATATTACTTCATGATATCTGACTATAGATGAATACAATCATTGAATACATATGATTACACTCAGTTGTATACATAGGATATGATTGTATTGTAAAAAAAAAGTAATATTTCAATAAACAGAACTGATTTTTTTTTTTGAATACATATCGTATATCAGAGATTGAATATGATTTTCTGAATATTAAATACATGTATTCAAATACACCTGAATACATATTAATATAATCTGTTATACATGTATAGATGTCTAAATATGTATTGTACAAAGGTCTAAATAGACTTGAATACATATGCATACAGATGAATACAGATAAATAAAATTAGTTATATACATAAGACGTATTCAAAATACAGCTGCATACATATTAATACAATATATTATATAAATATGAAGGTCTAAATACACCTGCTAAAAATATGTGAACATAATCTGGTGAATACATATAAATACAACTTAATGAATATAGATAAATATATCTTGTTGAAATACAAATGAATACAACATGGTAAATTATATTATAAATGCAACTTGTCGACTTGTTATGAATGCAATAAGTTGAATACAGAGTAATACAGTAAGTTGAATACAGACTAATACAATAAGTTGAATACAACATGTTGGATACATGTCACGACCGGAATTTCCCACCCTCGAGAGTTGTAATGGCGCCTACTGATTAAAGCTAGGCAAGCCAAATTGTTCTAATTACTTAATTGTTTCCAGTTTTAAACCATTATAAGTAATGAGTAGATATCATACAAATAGCGAAAATAATTGATCGGAAGACAAAATCTGATAAATTAATCTTAATACAAACTGCGGAAGTTTAAATAAAACTCTACCCAGAATTTGGTGTCACAGTTTTACAGACGGTTTACGAATACTACATACAAAGTCTGACAGATAAAATATACCATGTTTTTGAAATGAGTAAAGTAAACAAGATAAAGGAAAGATAGGAGGTGACTCCAAGGCCCGCGGACGCCTGCAGGACTACCTCGGGTCGCCTGTTGGACTGAAGGCAGCAACCTCACTATGGTCCAAAGTCTACAACATTGGGATCTTCACAAAAGAGTGCAGAGTGTAATATCAGCACAACCGACCCCATGTGCTGATAAGTGCCTAGCCCAACCTCGGTGAAGTAGTGACGAGGCTAGGACCAGACTATCAAATAAACCTGTGCAGTTGTATCATAAACAGCGAAAATAGAAGCAGGTAATTAGAATTAAAATTGGGCGGGGGAAACATGTTGCGGGGAGTAACAGATAACAACAAAATATCAAGATGAACATAAAGAAACCAAAATCCAATTACTAACAAGGATTGGGAAAACAAATGCAGAGTTCACTTTCATTTCACATCTCGTTGCAGGCGTGCAACCCGATCCCATTTCATGTATCTCGTTGCAGGAGTGCAACCGATCCCATTTCATATATCTCGTTGCAGGCATGCAACCCGATCCCATTTCACATATCTCGTTGTAGGCGTGCAACCCGCTCCCATTTCACATATCTCGTTGCAGGCGTGCAACCCACTCCCATTTCACAGATCTCGTTGCAGGAGTGCAACCCGATCCTATTTCACATATCTCGTTGCAGGCGTGCAACCCGCTCCCATTTCACATATCTCGTTACAGGCATGCAACCTGCTCCCATTTCACATATCTTGTTC